TTTTTTTTTTTTTTTTTTTTTTTTTTTTTTTTTTTTTTTTTTTTTTTTTTTTTTTTTTTTTTTTTTTTGGTGAGAAGACATGATACTTCCTCAAAAAGAAAAATAAAAACCCAAGAGGCATACCCAAAAAAAAACCCTCCAAAATTAGCCAAACTAAAACACAAGATGGGCTACACTCTAGTAGTAAAGCAAGATAAGACATAAAGTTAAACTACAAAAATCATTACACATCAAGATCCAAAGAGAGACCTGGAACTTTCACAACAGACCAAACCTCATCCCAGAACCTCTCAACCCTCTAAAATTTCTATTGTTCCTCTCACCTCAAAGACATCGAAGGGAGTTGACTAAGGACCTTGATCATTTATTGTAATTGTGGTTCATCCTCCAGACTCACTTCATTTATAACCACTCTACTCCAAACTTCTTGAGTAATTATGATTATGCCACTACTAATATCCTAATAATATTACCAATAGTTTCCTACTGAAACTCTAACACTGCTCTGTCCCTAAAATGTAATCAACTCACTTTGCAGTCAAGGCCACAATAAGACTACCATAGAAATGCTTGCCCCCTCCTCTCACACTTCAAAAACTTTTATAGCAAAACTCATAAGATGCGATGAACTCTTATTATCCCACTTCTTCCCTCTTTTTAATAATTCCTCCATGTTCCTCGCAACCTACTCGGCAAGTAGCACCAAGACAACCTACTCAAGCTAGGCAGTAGCACCAAGACTTACTAAAAGTAAAAGAACCTCATAGAATCCCTTTACACAAAATAAGCCCAAAAGCCAACGAAAGAAAAATAAAGGTTGAACATGCACATTTTAGAGAAACTGTCCAACCATAATTTTTCACTAGTTGTGGATCTCTCTTCCTTCACCCCATTTAGAAATATCTTGTCCACGTTCAATCAATAGGCAAATTTTTGTCCATGTTCCGTGACTCTAGGTTCAATTTTGCAACAATGAAACCTGTCGCCATCACTTGTGGAAGTGGTTGAAGAGTTCAGGGTTACTAGATCAAAGTGTCTTGCAGTCACCAACCTGTTTCCACTAGAAAATTTCTACACCCAACCCAAAGTGGAAATTGAAATTTCCAACTCGCTATAGACTAAATATTGCATTTCCCACCATTCTAACCCCTCTTGTCCACATATCCCAATCCAAAATTTTCACAACTTTATCATCGAATTCTTCACTCCTTTGATAGAGAAGGGAAATCAGAACGGGGTAGGCTGTTAAAATTTTATGAGAGAACCAAAATCATTGAGTGGACAAGTGAGAGATTTTCCTCCTAAGGTGCTCAAGGCATCATAGGGAGCTATTGTAGGTGGAAAGAAACACAAAAGAACAATTAAAACAAAGAGAAAAGTCATCATCGGTGGTAATGGTGGGTGACACTTGAAAGCATTGGGAAGAGGTGCCTTGTGATTTCAAGTGAGAAGACAGGAAGAAGATCGGATTTCAAGACCCAGGAAAGTTATAACCATTTTGTGTAAAGGATGGGTTCAATTTTCACAAGTACAGAAATTGACTACCTTCACCATTCTCTCCCAGTTTGTTCATTCACAACTACTCTTTATTAACCAATCCCCTTAACTAATGTCTAACACAATGAGGTTTGTTCTTCAATAAGATTTGATTTAACTGAGAGTTGTTTGCATTTTTTATGCTCCTTAGAAGGTTTTCAATTTTGTTAATTATCTCACTCCTAATGGGAGTTTTTATCTTCGAACATGCATTTACAGAATCACGGCAGGGGCATAATAAGACTTTGAGGCTTACACCTCTATGAAGAAAGCATGAGCTTGCACTTAGTCTTGTGCATTGACACACATTGTTTGCTCTTGTTGCTTGGGCTTAATAAGGCATTATGCACCTACACTATCAATAACAACTTCCTTTTGAAAATGAAATGACCAACCACATACAACAACAATCCATATTCAAGTAGTAACAAGCAGACCGAGCATTTATAAGAAAAACAACTTTCATGAAGAAATATTTAAGTGTGCTAGCACAAATTAACCGAAAATACGGGTGTCCAAGTTCTTAACAAAACAAAACAAAATATTATAGTTTTCTTGACCAACTTGTATATAAAATAAAGGTCTTTCTGCAACATCAAACACACACACGAAACTAATGATAACATTCAAATTATCTTATAAAATTTTAACTCTTACTCTTGTAATCACTCCATGTTCCATATGCAAATAAGCGAAGCAAGTCAAGATATACAGAATGCTCAGTTCCTTCTAGCTGCAAAGGAAGAACATCAAATAAAATAATTTCACTTTCAATTCAAAGAAGTCAAATCAATCCACTAAAAACTTTTGATTAACATCATCACTCTAGTAAGCTAAAAAGCATGTTAACAATGGGTTATTTCATTTTAAAAATAAATAAATAACGAATAAAAATAATAATACTTATTTATTTAAAACCTTTTTTTTTTCTTTTTTTCTTTTTTTTTTTTTTTTTTGAAAAAAAAGGCACCACCACCACCACTCTAGTAGCCAAAGCATCAAGGAAAAAGGAACCAAGAAAATTGTGGAGCAATTGGCTTTGGTCCAAATAGACCATATTTTCTTAATAGGAATGAGAATGGCAAAGTAAAAAGAAAATCAAATGAAATAAGTAGAATTGTATTCAACAAAAAGCCAAAGAAAAACAACTCAAGAACTTTGAATGGCTTGGAACTCACCACAAGCTAGGAGTTTGAGTTACCATCTATCATCTTGGGTCCACAACTGACTGAATGTCTAACACATTACCCACCCTTAACATAGATCCCCTTAGGCCCACAACCTCTAACCATTTTACAAAATCATCTCCCAACCTTATCCACACACCCTACACTGCATCAAACAACCCACTCATCTTACGCATATTCCTCCTAACATGATATGTATGCATGGCCTAAGGTTCCTATCCAAACCCACCGTTCCAAACTTTACCTTGCCTTCTAGGTGAAAAGCGTAGAACAACTATTGATGAAATTGGGGTCTTCCCTATAGCTTCATTAGGTTATTGTTCTACCAACTAAAGCAACACCTATAAGCCTTGCGTTAGAGCTACAGTGACAGGTGAGTTCCCATAATAAGAGGGCAAAAGTTCAAAACTTGGGACACATTTTAGTTGGTAATCGTTTCAGCCATAATTGAAAACCTTTGTCCACCTTGAGTTGGGAGACATGGAACGTTAGAGCTACAGTGACAGGTGAATTCCCATAATAAGAGGGCAAAAGTTCAGAACTTGGGACACATTTTAGTTGGTAATCGCTTCAGCCATAATTGAAAACCTTTGTCCACCTTGAGTTGGGAGACATGGAATCTTGAGAGTATTTCTGAAGTAGGTGGTAGTTGCAGCTTGTATGCCACCTTTTGAGGACCATAAATGAACAATGATACTACCGGACTAGTTTTTTTTTTTCCTTCCCCTTAGCAGTTGAGGAATGTTGTTGATAAATTGTATGAGCATAGATAATAGAGTCACCAACTTCAAATTGAACATCTCTGTAGTGTTTATCAGTTGATTTTTCTTAAATTGTTGAGTTTGTGTCAGCTGAACATGTAGGACATCTAAGACTGCATCTCTATCTTGCAGTAATAGATCAAAAACGCAAAAAGATAAAGGTGAGGAAGATTGACTACACCAAACCAAGAGTGGTGGTGGGCACCATAGAGCAACTGAAATGAGATTTCTTTTTTCTTTCAGAAAACAAAGTAGTATTGATAAATAATAAGTAAATAATTACAATAAGAAGGATTTATACAATAAATAAAAAATAACATTGATTTATTTCAGTTTGATTCAATACATAAGATGTTGAAAAACTAACCAAACAAAACCTATGTCATATGGGTTGGTTAAATTAAGAAGTTCATCAATTTAATTCAATTTCTAACACCCCTATTGTTGACAGTGAAAAGTCCCACTTATAAGTTCGTAGGAGCCTTGCTGTTTTTTTTTTTTGTATAGCTTGGTTTCTGTTGCTGTTCTCATTCTTCTTGACAGAAGTGGTATTTTTACCGAAAATAATATCATTGCAGCTTTAAAATGTACTATAAATCCAACATTACTTCATAGCTTAGGCAACATACGTTAGGAGTACGCAGACACACATTTCAGAACAAAAATACATTTCGTAGTAAATGATCAGTAATAATAATAATAATGAATCATGATACACTTCATTGGCTTAGTTTCTCAAGCATTCAACAGAAATCATTCATATCCCTATCGATGTAAATGATGAGATAGAATAAAAGGCCAACTATAAATAAATAAATAAATAAATAAATAATCAGATCAATCGAACATTTTCTCACTTAATTCAAAATTTTTAGCTTAATTTACCTTCAAATTTCTCCCCAATCAAACAGTCAAGAATTAAAGACAACAAAAGAATACCAATAATAAGTCGCAAAAAATAAACCTAGAAGTCAAAAGGCAAAAGGCAAATCCGTATATTCGAACCTCGACGACGTTGGGAACGGCAAGAATTTCAGAGAAGGCGAAGAGGGAAGGGTGCGAAGTGGCGTCAGTAACAACAGACGAAAGTGCGGAGCCTTTCAGGGAGGACGCTTGCTTTACAAAGTGATCGATGAACTCGGTTTGCTTCTGCTCAATATCCATTTCTTGAGCGAATTAAAAATGTAGGAAAAGAATGGCGAAACAGATAGAGAGCAGGAAGGGAGATTGAAATCAGGGGACAAGGCAAAGAAATTGGATCATCGAGATGAGTCGAAGCAGCAGCAGCAGCAGCAGCAGCAAGAAAGGTAGCGAAGAAGGCTCAGAATTTTGGTGTGTCGGGGGTTGGGTTGGGTTAGGGTTCTTGAGAGCAGTGTGAGTGAGTTGAGCGTGGAAGTCGATCACACAGCACCACTCCTAAAAAGTTGTTACGCTACTTCCCCGTACTTGACCCTCACCGCCCCCCTCCCTTTCTCGCGGATGTCTTTACTCGCAAGTCATTACCCAAACTCATCATCCAAAATAAATTCGCAAAATTAACATGGAAGGCCATATTTGTAAATGAGATTCGAATTTCTAACCTCTTCCTGTAACTACAAATAATTTATAAATATAATATTTATTATTTTTTTTTCTGAGTGTATTATTGATGCACCATCTTATGTTATTATATACTCAATATAAAATTAAGGGACGTGGGGGGACTGGAGTAGGGCAGAGATTTTGGGGATTTTTATCTTATACTCTTCTAAAAAAAAACGACATATTAAGATAAATAACCCTGGCACGCTTCTTAGATTTATTTATGGCCTTTAAGGAGCCGTATGGGGTGAAAATCTCATGTACGGTTCTGTAATAGCGATGAGAACAGTAATGTTATTATCGACTATGATTCTCTAATAGTTCAATCAAAATATAGTTTTTTTTTTCTTTTTCCTTATTTCACTCTCTCACCTCTCTCTCTCATGATAAATTTATGTTTATACACCCATAAGCTCCCTATTAAACTGGCTTGTTAATGATGAAATATGGTAACTTAATTAAAATATGAAAAATTAGCTTAAATGATAAACAAATATTGAAACTATATTAATCTAAGGAAAGAAACTTTCATTGGACTTTAAATTAAAATGGCATTACTTGAAGCTCAACTTTGCATAACAGGTAGGGAAGGACTCCAACATCTTCTAAAATTTTCTTGGATAAACTCGTCACAACTTGAATATAAATTACTACAACTTGTTGTAACTCTTGACTCTTGTCCTTATAATTAGACATTGAGATATGAAATTTTTTTAGTTTGGGCATGGATGCTATTTTGATGTAAGATGAAAAGCCCTTAACTAGGCAATGTTGAACTATCCGATAAAGAACTAGAACTATTTTCTGTTCTGTAGTCATAGATTACAAGTTTGGCAACACTATTTATAGCTAAGAGAGTTTGATCTAGAACTATTTTCTGTTCTGTAGTCATAGATTACAAGTTTGGCAACACTATTTATAGCTAAGAGAGTTTGATCAAGTAAATATAAGCGAATTTAAATGTAAAGAAGGTAAGTGGATGGTATGAGGAACCTTGGGTTCGATGCACCTTATTGGGCATTTATTGCAATTTGCAATTATTACATTCTATAATTTACTCTAATTTTAAAAAAAAACATCCATAAATTCTTTAATGGAGCAAAATCAGATCTTAGAGATTTTAATGCACCAGCCAGGAATCGAACCCGGGCCTGTACCGTGGCAGGGTAGTATTTTGCCACTAAACCACTGGAGCTTATTGATTTTTAATTGTCCTACTATTTTTTACAAAACGATAATTATTCTTTTAATATAGTAAATTCTTTTAGTAATTTGATGGATGATCACTTTTCAAATTTCTTATTATTGGCTTAATTTTGGTTTTTGTGGACATGTAATATGTGGAGTTCAAGGTTCTTTTATAGTCGTCTATATCTTACCGAGATAATTATCATAGTCTGCTAGCAACCTCTACAATTAAATTAGTTCTTATTAGAAGCGTGCTTTATGTCCCGTCATTTCATTCTTATTTTTTCAAGTTTTGTTCGCTTATTATTATTGATACTGTCAATTTGATCATTTACGTGTATCGAAGATTATGTTCCTCTCAAATTTCAATTAGTTTATTTCTAGTTTCTTCTATCGAGTTTGTAGTCATATTGACTTTATAACTATTTATTGTCATCCACGAGTAATATATGCTAGTGTTATGCAAGTAATTATTAATAACCAAAATTTTAAAGAATCTTTACTTCAAAAAATCATAATCATAACCTAATCTATTAGCTAATTGCACATTAATAACCTAGTTAATAATGATTAAATTAATTTTTAAAAATCATTAAATAATTTACTAATTTTAAAAATTTACAAAGATAAAGAAAAAACACAAAATAGTAATTTTTAAGTCCTAAGAAAATAGTCCAAAAATGTGCTCTAAGATCGTTAAAAAAATTTAAAAATATCATTACGATTAGTACCATATTTCAAAAATACTCATGAACTTTTGAAACTAAGATTAAAAAGTTTAGAAATAATCTATGAGGTGTCGGATAGATGATTTTCGTTTGTATATTGATAGTAAGAATTTGTTAAATTTTTATTTTATTTTATAAAAATACAGGATATTAATGCTACTTTTAAATTAACAATTAAAAAAAAATGGAAGGGCATTAATGAAACTTTTAAAGTTTGAGAGTATTTTTGAAACACCTTAGTATTTTTTAAATAACATGCTAACTGATAACGATATTTAATCATTGTTTTTTAAACTTAAGGTATTATTGAAACTTTTTAAAAATTTAAAAAAGTATTTTTATTAATAACCTGTTTTAAGAAAATTTAATTCTAATTTTAAGCTTCAATAATAACATCTAATTATGTTAATAATAACCCCTAAAATAATTTAAATAAGAAAAAGAGAAAAAAAAACCATCATATTTTTGTTCCAACATGTGGATACTTAAGTAGGAAAAAAGTCTTATATGAAACCTCGTTTGACACGTAACACAGTTTGTTCTTATTGTTAAGTTTGGTTGTTAACTTAAATAGACTACTTAAGATTTGTGTAAAGATTCAATACTGGAAAAGGTTAGGTTGAACACGTAGTTCTAATAAATACTAAAATTTTTTCCGTTTTAAATTTGTTTGCTGGTCATTGATAAGGATGCCAATATTTTAAGCTACTATTGAATTGTTGTTTTTAACTGCGTGTCATCCTCAAACTTATGGATAAACTGAGATAGTTAATAAAATATTAAAAATTTTAGTTCGGACTATTATATTTAAAAATATTAAGTCATAGTAAGAAAATTGATTTAAAAATTAACAAAAGACCGAAGGAACTCATTTTGGTACCAAGTAATTGTGTTCGAATATATTTTTTAAACGATGCATCTCACAGAAAGACAATTATATCCGAGAAGAGATGATTTATTAATTATTATTACATTACTGCTGCTTATAATAGGTGTATGATGATAATTTAGAAAAGAAAAAGAAAAGGCAAAAAAAGAACTAATGCACCAGCCGGGAATCGAACCCGGGTCTGTACCGTGGCAGGGTACTATTCTACCACTAGACCACTGGTGCTTGTTGCCTTAGAAAGCATCATTCTATTTTATATATCTTAATTAATTTTCGAAATATTGTTTTTCTCAATAAAAATTCTTTAAATTAGTTTAATATTTGATATATTCGCTTTATTAAATTTTAACCTCCTGTTTGTTTATTTAATCTATTTCAACAATATGTGTGGACTGAGTTTTTGTTTTTTTCTTTGTTTATTAATATTATTATTTTTATATAATTATAATTCTTCTGTCCATTATTAATGAAATGAAATGATATTACGTCAATTAATCAACTAAATGAATTATATCACAACCGAATGTTTTAAATGTAAAAAAGCTAAGTTTAGATCACAACTGAATAAATTATGTACTCCTTTAAGTTCCGAAATCAGTACTTAAAGAACAATACATCTACTTTTCTTATATGGAAAGGAGTGAATTTCATCTCGTGATATTATGTTTCCAACTCCTTATTCGGTCAAGTCCCCAAAATGGTAATCATATTAAACCGGCTAAAAGAGCTATTCTCACCCATGTAAATTAAAGAACAAGCCCTCACAGGTAGGAATTCATAACTCATTCACGATTAAGATCGAGTTGCATATGATCATCATGTGAAATATTAATTTTCTCGATTAACAGATTTATAAATATAGATTAAATATTTATTAGTTCAGTCTTATACAAACTCATTGTATAGGATACTCTCACTTACCTATCTCTACATGAACAATTTGGATCAAATCATTTGTAACGACTACAAAGTGGGCTGTATCAACAGTGTTACCAGGATAAGGCACCCGACCTTATCCATATACTGACTTTTTAGGTTATTACTTGAACAATATCCTTTTGTATGTCAACTGCAAAGATTACATTAATAATCTTGGATTTTTATATAATAATAATTAAATTACAAATAAAATAATAAAAATTATTGTTAAAAACTAAATAATTAATTACGAGGCTTTAGAGCATAAATTCTAACAATATTGCCATGAACAGCATCAAACATATCAAGTACGTCATATACATATATTACGCACATCATCATGCATCATAACCCATACATCATCATATACTAGTATACCACATCATACGATACAATTCATACATCATCATATACTAGTTACGACATATACGATACACCTCATACATCATCATAACTCATACATCATAAATTGTAACTCATACCATTTCTAGTCTATGTAAGGTCACTTACTTTATTAGCTTAGGCTGGTGTCACCAATTTGTCCTCAATAAAATTCGATTTTATCATTTGCATCCAAGTCAACCTATATGAATCCATGACATCAATTTCAAGTTCAAGTCTATATTTTATAATGCTCGAATGTTAGATTTCATGCGAGCCTTAGAGACTTTATCTTATAATATTTCATATATATATATATATATTTATTTATTTGTAGTGAGGATCTTATTTCCTAGTAGAATTTATTTATGGTTAAAGTATTCTTTAGCATTGTGATATTTCAAAATACAGTTTCGTTCTCTATGGCCTATCATGTAATTCTTATTCTTAGAAATCAAGTTGTCTTTGACAGTATGTAATATATATATATAAAAGAATAATTCTTCATATGAGACTAATTGAGAAAGGATATTGAGAAAGCGGCGGGCCTCAATGAACTCTCCAATAGTGCTCTGCGGGACCGGACAATCGAGTAACCTCGAGCCACAGGGACTTTGGTAAAAGAATGAAGGAACCTGCATCCCCTACACTCTCTCTTAGGCTTGTGTGGCTTTCAACGAGATAGTGCTTTTTCAACTCTCTAAAAAACGAACCTATTCCAAAACATATATGTCATGGTTCCTTAGTTCGACAGGTACAAATATCTATACCAATATTATTACACTACTTTGAATCACATGTACAATTAAAAAAAATAGTCTAATCATCTCTAAATCCTTCTTTTATTAAAAAAATTGTTCTTTAAAAAATGGTATTGATCTTGATTTGATTTTTTGTATCTTTCTTTTTTTCTTGCATAATCACTTATTATTACGTGGGGGAGAACGTGTTAGGGAGAGATATTTGGAAAAAAGTCGTCTTACTATTATTGTTGTCGTTATTATTATTATTAAAGATATTTGGAAAAGAAGTCGTATTATTATTATTATTATTATTTTATTTTTTAAAAAAGAAGCTTATATTAGAAGTGAAAATGAATAGTAATTTTTCTTTTTGATGTCGATAATTTAAAAAGAAATAGAGCAAAAAACGCAATAATTGCACCAGCCGGGAATCGAACCCGGGTCTGTACCGTGGCAGGGTACTATTCTACCACTAGACCACTGGTGCTTATTGATTTTTCAGTGTCCTTTATATATAATCTCATAATTATTATTCCTATATAATCATAATTATTTCGTTTTTATTTTTGTTACATGAAACGTTTTGTGCATGTTTAAATCTGAATTTGACAGCTCATTGTTTTGTACGTTTAGTTTTTAAAGAAATTTAGCATGTTTATTGAATTGTCTTCTTATATATACATACTAATAATTCAAATGTAATATCATAATTAATTAATATTTATTTAGCTTGGAAATTATTTAATTAAATCAGAAGAAAAATATGCATGTGTACAGCGTATCTGCCACGTAATGACAACTGATGGGGACCACATCATAATATTATTTTATTTTATAAACACAACTATATTCAATTATTCAATTATTCAATTTTTTAATTTTTATATTATACATCGAGATATTGTGATAACTTCAGGAGTTTCTATCGTGTATAGAAATGGGTTGACAATTGAGGTCTCGACTTCGTAAGCCTGTCCGAAGAGGGTATGAGAGAATACATGGGTAGGTGAGGGCATGATGAGTGCATTTCTCGTGTGTGACTAAATAAGGTCATTGCACTTTGAACTCGTTCGAGAGGGGGTGAGAGACCACAAAAGTAAACTTAGTAGTTGACCAACATAACCTTTCGACTTTAAAGTAATTCTTGTAGAAGAGTCACTAGTTAACTTTAGATAGAGATAGTTAGAGAGATTAATCACGATGACTTTATAAATTTTGGAGAATTTAAAGTGGTAAAAATTGTTAAAAATATGGGGAAGATGATGAGTTTAAATAAAATAAAAAAACTTACAGAAATAAAATTAATAATAATATTAGAAATAATAATATTTTGATATTTTTTTTAGAAATATGCCGCCAATGGGAACGTGCCATGTTAGAGTTTTTTTCCTTCAAATTATTAGAATATAACAATAACAATAATAATAATAATAATAATAATAAAAACGTGAAAAATCGTTATTTTTTTAAAAAATTTATGCCACATGGTGGTCACATGTGCGGTGTTTAATAATACAAAAAATTAGCTCATAGTATTAAAATCAACCAATTTAAATATTTTTATAATAATGTGAAAAAAAATATTGACCGTAAATTAATGTGTGTATATACATATAATTAATTAATTTTCTTCTTTTAATTTAAAACATTCCATAGTAATTAAATGTCATTCTTCTAAAATTCCACATGTCACGATTTAGTTTGTTCATGATCTCAGTTTTAGTGATTTAAAAGATATTAAAACTATTATTTAAAATTCTAAGCATACTTCGAGGTAATTATTATCGTTTTGACCAAAAATATCCCTGAGAAAAAAAAGGAAAAAAAAAGTCATAATAGAATTTATCTTTTCATGTTTGGAATGTTTCAAAGCAATTAGTGGGGTTGAAATAAACGTCAAATTTCCAATTTTAATTATTCAAAAACATGTTTCAAATTTCCCGCTCTTTTTAACAAATGTCACAACTATACTATGATACTATGAAGAGAGTAGATTGTGACCTTCACGTGCATCATCTAACACACTGCTTAGAGTGTACATTGAAGCAAAGACGAGACATGAGCAAGATAAAGGCAACAAGTAAGACAAAAGGGTCACAGATAGGCTTGTTGAAGGGGAAGGATATTTAGCCTTTAATTATGGTTTAACATATGTATACCTTTTATTATTGACAAATATCTTGTATGATCTAAGATATTTAGTCTTTCATTAGAGTTTACATAGATATCATAATTGACCATTTATTATAAACAAATATCTAGATATTTGTCTTCCATTATGACTTAGGTATCATATTTGTCATTTTATTATAGACAAATATCTTATATCAATTTATTACTCTTCCCGCCATTTCCTACCAAGTTGGAGTTCCGAGGGGAATTTGGGCATGCAGTTTTGAAGGGAATTTAGGCATGCAGTTCCATAATCAAGTCCGTCCATATGAAATATGAAAGCTCGCCAAAATTTGGTGTAAATCAAACACCGGACAGATATTCCGTGACAGCATATGTCTATTCACCAAAACCATGTCCACACTCACCAGATTGGAAATACTTCAAAATGTATCTTTGTGTCAGAAATATTTCATTTTCACCTTCCTCCTTTCGAAACGAGTCCAATAATATTTGCAGGGTTGAAGAAGATTGCTCGCCAGCCTAATGAGAATTGACGTTACCCGCAAAACCCCCAGTAGTTTTCTCCCGAAATCTAGTTCTAAAGAAGAAACAAAGTCTCATAAAGTGATCGAAGAAAAATGGTTAGGATCATATTCTATTATTTCTATAATGTTCATAGACGAAACGCTTCGTTTAAGGTTTCTTCGACCGCCATGGATGAGAGGAAGGAAAAGATAGAGAAGGAGAAAAAGGAAGTCAAAAAAAAAAAAAAAAACATGTACAAATAAGAGATTCCTCACTTCCAACGGTTGTGTTCCATGTTGGTTTATTATATCCACAAGTGGTATTTTCATTTTTTTTTAATTCTTTCAAGGTCCCAATCGAATATTATAATGTAATTAATATAAAATTAAATAGGTTTCTGTTGATAATAATAACTTTTTTAAAAAAAATATTAAATAGGTTAATATTACTTTTAAAATTTTAGAATATTTTTTAAAATATGTATTAACCATGGAGTATTTTTTTAAAAATAATATTAAAAATTTAAAGATATTTAAAAAAATAAAATATTAGTGGGTTGTATTCCAAATTATAAATAATAATATTTTTGATATTTTTAATAAATGTAAGAGTATTATTAATTATTAATTTTTTAAAAAATAAATGTAGATGTAAATAAATTATAGATTATATATATACTTATACGTAATAAATATCACGCTTCCCAAGCGTATCCTTTGATCTTCCTGATTCATCACGTGGCATTGGCTAATCATGGGAGGCCGAAATGTACCGACCGTTTCTTCTTCTTCCTCTTCTTCTTCTTCGTTTTTCTCCCACTTTTGTTCCTCTGCATTGAGAACCAAGCCAAGTAATTCTCCGTATGATGTCTTCTCCAACCGTATCAACTCCGGCGAAGGCCTCATACGTCGTCTTGGCGTCATCGACCTCATTCTTATCGGTGTCGGCGCTTCCATTGGAGCCGGAATCTTCGTCATCACCGGTACCGTCGCTCGGGACACTGGTCCTGGTGAGTTATTGTCGTTCTTGTATGCGTTATGTTATTCATGGTTAGTCTTGTGTGTATGATTGTTCTATCTGTTGGAGTATGTGTTCATTTTCAGTTCGGACTTTCAGTTTTTGGTTTTTAAATAAAACATTTCTCAATCTCTTATACCGAGTCCTTGGTGCTTGTTTCAGGCCGTATAAAGCTTTATCTAATGCACAATCGGAAAATATTCTACATCTACACCTGTTAACGCATAAGACGTTCAATAGCTTAGTGTAACTGGTTCACCTGTGCAGCAGCCAGGTGTTTAGTGAGTTGTCTTTACAATTTTTGGATTTGTTGTTTTCTGAGCGTTAAATCATGTAACGCAATTTCGAATTCTCAGAGTTTCTGAATTGTTTTGTCGAATTTTAAATGGATGTTGCAGTTTATTCAACTAACATTTCATTTATCATAAGTGGATGTGTGGATGTGGACCTCATATCATATTTTGTCGTTTAATCGTGATATTGATAGGGTATAGATGTGGTTGTAATTTTCTTACACTCTGAAGGAACGTTTCTGGAATGTTCGTCTTGTAAACTTCTTTATGTTGTATGAGAAAAATTTTCAAGCATTTTATTTTGATGCAGGAGTCACCATTAGTTTCATACTAGCTGGAGTATCATGTATCTTAAATGCACTCTGCTATGCTGAGCTAGCCACACGCTTTCCCCCTGTTGTGGGCGGTGCATATCTGTATGCATATACAGCATTCAATGAACTCACTGCTTTTCTTGTTTTCGCACAATTGACGCTTGACTACCATATTGGAATTGCTAGTATAGCGCGGAGCTTAGCAGGTTATACAGTTTCGTTTCTTGAGATCTTTCCCATTTTTAAAGATAATATTTCAAATTGGTTTGGAAATGGGCAAGAGTTCTTTGGAGGAGTTGTTTCTGTTAATCTACTGGCTCCAGTTTTTGTAGCAATATTGACCTTTATTCTGTGTTGGGGTGTTGGAGAGTTTTGTGCTATAAACTCCATCATGTCGTCATTAAAGGTATTCTTCTATTCAACCTATTTATTTAGTGGAATTTGATAGTATCTCATTCTTTCACAACGTATGCAGTACTTGTTATAGGAGAACAGAGAAGAGAAAATTAAGGAAAAGAGAAATGAAGCTAATTACACAACTTGGTGATTTTGGTCCTTGCAGGTCTTGTCTTGTTGGTACTTAGCTAGGGACTAGTATGGTTAGGTTTGTGGCATAGAAAGATTTTTTTTAAAAGATAACATGATTAGATCGGTGAGAGCTTTTTATAGTTGTATATTCAATTGTCAACTTCAATATTTTCGGTCTCCCTCTAGACATGGCTAGATTTACTAAGAATGAAAGAATGAAAGGATACTTCCTAGCTCCATTTCCTTGAATCAAGGGGCCTTTGTTAGCGGAAGTCAAGTTCTATTCTATAACACGGCTCTAGTAGATTAGCAGATTAAGAAGGCATTATTTTTCAAGGTAGAATTCTAGGAATCTTATGATCTTCTGAGTAGGCAGATTTTGGACAAATTGAATAGAGTTGAAATACAGAACCATTTATCCAAGATATTAGATAGGCAATAAGGTGCCTTAAGTGCTTACCTGTTTGAGCATTAGAAATACGAGACTTGGATTTCAGAATGTTCAAAAAGTGATCATATGCTTTGATAAATGATCTTGTTTCAACTTCAATAGCAGAAGCAGTATAGAGTGGTTGTGCTTCCAATTTACTTTTTTTTTTTCCATTAATATTTCAGCATGTTTCTCGAGTTTATTGGGAATATTAGTATGATATTCGTAAGGGTAGAATGATAATTAGTTAGAGGTGATTGGTTATGAATAGATGTAATTAGTTATCTTTGGGGGAGGTCATATTAACTACAATACAGCTATTTGTACAGAGTGGGATTCAATATTGAAAAAAAAAAAAAAGAAAAAAAAAAAGCAAGTGGTCTTGCAAATTAGTTTGGCTGATAGGTTAAGGAGGTGGAAAAGGCCTAGGTTTGGGTACACTTGTTTGATGAAGATTGTAAGAGTACAAGGCTGGAAGAATCACGACGCTCATTCTTTCACAATTGCTATACTCAATGCTTCTTATAAAAGAAAATCCAAGCAAACATTAAGGGAGAAAGGAAAGACAAATAATTATAGATGGACATCTCCCTTATTACTTAATTTCACAATCGATTGACATCTAATGAAAATATTTATGCAAAAACCTTTCCTACCCAAGTCTGCCTTTAATTTTTCGTTTGAATTGTGCTAATATCAGATATGAAGGATATGTAATGAACATTGGAAGTTTGGAACTTGTCTGCAGGTCATCATTGTTGTGTTTGTCATCTTCGTTGGTGCTTTTGAGGTTGATGTTTCAAATTGGTCTCCTTTTACTCCAAATGGTTTTCATGCAGTGTTAACTGGAGCTACTGTAGTATTCTTCGCATATGTAGGCTTTGATGCAGTTGCAAATTCAGCCGAAGAATCTAAAAGTCCGAGGGTACACTAAACTAAACACTTCCTTTTGTGGTTTGACTACCACGATTCAATGAATTTTGCAAGTTCAAATAGCAGTATACCCTTTGGAAGTCTTAAATCAATTAACTTTCCCTTTTTCATATTGTTTTGTTCAGAGGGATTTACCAATTGGTATAATCGGAAGTCTTCTCATTTGCATTGCTCTATATATTGGTGTCTGTTTGGTGATAACTGGAATGGTTCCTTATTATCTTCTTGGGGAAGATGCTCCCTTGGCCGAGGCTTTTACATCCAAAGGCTTGAATTTTGTTTCTTTAATGATAAGTATTGGTGCTATTGCTGGACTTACAACGACCCTTCTTGTTGGTCTTTATGTTCAGGTAATTTATTTCAGATTCCGATAACTATTGGATGTGTTAATAATACTTCACATTTTTTTATGTTATGTCATTGTCATTGTCATTGTCATTGTCATTGATGAGACGTGTGAAACAGTCACGTATGTACCTTGGGCTTGGGAGAGATGGTTTGCTGCCTTCTATTTTTTCCAAAGTGCACCCCAAATACCACACTCCTATCACTTCGCAACTCTGGGTTAGTTTTGTAGCTGGCTTATTGGCTGGACTATTTAACGTGCACTCACTCGCTCGTATTCTTTCAGTTGGCACCTTGGTATGTTAGCTAATCTTTGATCTTAAATTTTCTTTATTAATTAACCTATTATGCAACTTAACCTCTACTGTTGTTGCTTGGTTCAGACCGGCTACTCTGTTGTCGCGGCTGGTGTTGTCACCCTTCGGTGGGAGGATAAGACAGCCAGTCCGGCATCTTCATCAACTTGGCGTGAAGGTGTCATCTGTATTATGGTAGTTGCTTGCAGTGGTTTTGGTGCTGGATTGTTTTACCGATTCGGTTCACTATGGGTTTCTATGGTAGCCGCTGTTTTTGCATTACTTGCATCGATTGCTCTTCATCTTCGCCATGTGAGTTTAGTTTCCCTTCAGCTATATATATATATATATATATATTTTTTTTTCACATTTGCTCTTAAGAGAGACTAAAATTATTGAGGATTGTTGGGAGAGGAATCACACGTCCCCTAATTAAGAGGTTGATCATGGGTTTATAAGTAAATGATATATCTCGATTGGTACAGCGTATTTTGGGGAAACCAAAAGTAAATCCACCGGAGTACTCTCAAAATGGAGAGTTTATGCTCCAAATGGACAAATATCATACCATTGTGAAAAGTTGTGGTGGCTAGCAAAAAGAAAAAAAAAAAAAAAATGAAATGAAGCTTCGATGAATTGAATCCTATTTGAATATAGCAAGGTGGGAAATTGTGTATACTTGATTGAAATTGAAGGAACCATTCTTCCAGTTGATCGAAGTGTGCCAGGATGTATGGTTTGGTTTGAGAATTTGTAGAAATAATCTGGTTTGGTTTTCTTTGTTCTTAACTCTTGTTCAACATCCTTCTACTCAGGTCTACGGAGATGTGCTAGGATTTCCTTGCCCGGGAGTTCCCTTTGTGCCGGCCCTTTGCATATTCTTCAACATGTTCCTATCAGCTCAGGTACAATACAAGCCCATCCCGACCATGCTTGATCGTTTAAATCATCCTTTAGTTTCTTAAGTTATTGATTGTAGTTCAGTTCATGAGCTTTTCAACCCTTCTCTTCTTTCAGTTACACCAAGAAGCCTGGGTTAGATTTGTGGTGCTCAGTGTCATTACAGTCATCTTTTATGCATGTTATGGGCAGTATCATGCCACCCCGAGTTTGGAAGGTTCTGAGATTTATTTTCCGGTTCCAGGGTAGGAAGTTCGATTTTTGTTCATAAATGTTATGGTCCTATGTCTTATTGTACATTGATGATTACCCCCTTATACCATAGTGTAATACTCGAAGTAGCGTAGCGTAGCAGTCGAATGAATCATTTGAGAGCTCCTATTAGGACGGTTTGGCATAAAGTAATATAGATGACCATGAATACGAGTGGTACGAGAATAAGATGTCTAGAAATTATAAATGTATAAGAATAGAAGGTTGGTTGTATTAGATTCTTATCTTCTTTTTTCTTTAACAAAATTATTATATAGATTTTATGATAATAAATAGAATTCAGTTGATGTAGTGCAATTTTAGTTGAATAGTTAATTGTAATTATTAAAATTTCTGTAAAAAAATTGGTTTAACAAATTAACAAATTTAATTGAACAGTTATTTATAATTATTAAAAAAGTTATAAATAAATTAATTTTAATTAATAGATTATTAACTAATAATTTCATGAGGTTGGGTTCTCTCAAATGAGCACGCAACTCTAAATTATCTTTTTCTCACGTGCTGCAATCCTCTTTGTTGTTGCCCTTGATTTTGTTTCCTCATTTTGTTTATCATTTGTTCACTTCCGTTAGTTATTCCTGAATGCACTATTATAGGTTGTGACGGTAAATAATCCTTCTCGTTTTTTGTTCGATTTGGTACATGAATAGAGTTGGGACTTGAAAATTTACAAGGAGTCTCTCGATGTGATTGTCATTATAGGTCGTTGGTCTCAACTATTAATGTTATTGTCGTTTGGGAGTTGTATGAGGGAGGATCTGTGTGCAACACTGGAGAACTTGGGAACATATTTGGGTTGCAATATGGTGGAGTTTTCCGTTGAGTTGAATTGACTCAGTGTTCTAGTTTAGTTAGACCGAACGATTCGAATCGATTCAGTTAGATTTGTTCGATTTAGTTTAGTTGAATTGGTTTGTTTGGTCATTTTTTCTTGTTTCAATTCAATTTTTAAGGTCAATGCCTTTTATCTCGACTTTCATAGATTAAACCGATATGTAGATTGTAAGCCTTTGATTGATACATAGATGGTATATTATTGTGCATTGTTTAAAACTTGTTTTAAACTCTAGTGAGACCTATCTTTATGCATGAATTGAAAGTTGTAAAATGATTTTCTGATGTGCTTTAATTAGCAACCAATGTTACTAGAACCTAGGTTTTGATTTCGGTTATATTTTGCTATAGTTTTTTTAGAACCTATTGTTGAGTCTATGTAGGGTCGAGCTAGACGATCTTAATCCAAAATAGGTCATTAGTGAGTCACCCACTTTGGAAAGAAAAATTGGTCCCTTGATTTATAATATTTAACTCTTTGTGTATGCATTGACGGGAAGATTTTTTTTACCCAAAGGCAATTACTTGTGTCAAGTTAATTGAATGACTATGGGCATAACTACCCTACACGTTAGAAGATCATCACTAGTAATGTGTGGTCTATCTTGTTTAGCCTCTACTATAAATATCAGTCAAGTTTTTTTTATCTCAAATGAAGCAAAGTAGTAGTTTCTACATAATGTCTGGTAATATTTTCTTGATTGGTTTGGATAAAAAGTGTCAGTATTTCCCACAAAAGAGTTGTGTTCAACAATTTGATATCAGGGCAAAGTTGTAGTAGGTTGTCTAATCTCTTGAAACTCTTAGTATGTTTTATGGTTGTAGTTCTGGCTAATCTTTCTTCAGATTATTAGTAAGTGAGTTTCTTCATATCATGGGTAGTTTGACTCTACCAGTTTTGTGTCAAAAACTAGCTTGTTTCGTATTATGGAGGTACTGCCAACATGATGGGTGATCTCCAAGTCAACGAAGAAACCAAGAAACTTAGTAGCAACAATTATAACATGTAGACAACATGCATGATGTTCTATCTATAAGGACAAGACCTTTAGGAGGTTGTTGGCTGAAGCGAATTTACTTCTCCAAAGGAGGATGCTAATAGTGTCTTACGCAGATGGAGAATCAAAGCAGATAAGACTACAGTTGAAGAAGAGATGTTGGAATACATTCGGGATGATATGATGCCGAAAGAAGCATGAGACACGTTTGTGGCGCTTTTCTCAAAGAAGAACGATATGAGACTACAATTTCTAGAGAATGAGTTGTTATCAATCTCACAACACGACATGACAATTGCTCAATACGTATGCAAATTCAAGTTGATCTAAAGAGAGATTACTAAACCATATCCATAATCCATTATCGGAAAAGCTCGAATGAAGAGGATTATCATCCACAGATTGCAACCATAATATAGAAGTTTCATTATTGTCAGAATAGTCTGCTCAACCATCACTTGTAAGTTTGAGGATTTGCTAGCCAACCAAGAAGTCATCACTAAGCAAATGAGAGACATCATGTTGAAGAAGGAAGAAGAAGCGCTTTACACAAGTAAAAGTCGAAGCAGCAATAAGTTGAAAATACTGACAAAAAAAAAAAAAAAGTCGACAACAAGAAATGTCAAGGAAATAGATTTGAAGGTATTTGCTATTATTGTAGAAAGAAGCACCACAAGTATAAGAAAAAGTCTATTGAAAGCAATGTAGCAGTCTCCAAAGAATGAGACAGAGGATGAGTGGGATGCAAAAGTACTATGTGCCTTTGAAGAAGACGAGCTAGTATTCTTGGCAATGATGAGAGAGCACACCGATCATGAGAATAACTAGATCATTGATTAAGGATGCTGAATGAGGGAACGTTATTTAGGCTCCTCCCTCTCATACGCCCTCGATTAAGTAAGAAACAGGAAAAGGAAAAAATCAAAACCCGCTTCTCATCGAGGTTACCACCATTTGTTGTGTGATCACTGACGTTAGTATAAAAGTTGATTTTTTAATGATCTAACTTATGTTCAAAGTTATTTTAACCATCTTAAGATCACTACTAAACACGACCGTTTTAAAGGCTTAATATTATTTTACGGGTAACTATAGGTTAAGTATTGTAATATATATATCCTAGAAGTTTTCAAATACGAGCATAGTTTCATGGTTAGGACATCTACTTTGTTCCTTCGTCGTTAGAAGTTCAAATGTCTTCTCACATTATATTGTACCACAAAAATATCTTAAAAAACTCAACGCATACTGATATAAACTAAGACATCAATCATGCGATATAAATTTCAAGAAAGATGTAAAGAAAATATTCGTTCAAATGATCACAAAATGTTACCATTCAAGACACGTTAAAGAAGAATCAAGTTTCAGTTATTCTTGGATAGTAAAAAGAGTATTTGTGCTTTCCTTTTGCCAATGATTAAGTTTCCATGTAATTCTATACAACTTAGATTGCATGTTTAGAATTATTCAAGCTTGACATGATCAAGCTTGCTTGTCGAGTGATCTCAATCAAATATTCTTACCATGAGATATTTGATCAACACGGTAATCTAAATTTTATTTCTATTTGGAGTGATTTCTTATCATTAGGACTAAGTGTTTTTAAATTTTTTTAGTCGATGACTAAGTTTTTTTACAATTCTACTTAATTTAGATTGTATGTTTAAAATCATTCAAACTAAACATGATCGATCTTACTTGTGAGTGATTCAAATATTAAACAAGTGTTTTTTTACTTGAGATATTCAATCAACAAGGTATGTAGTGATTCCTTGCTCTTTGGTATTAGAGTTTTCTCTTGGAACCGTGATTCCTTATTACATCAATTTTATTATATTTTTTAAAATACACATAGGTTAATACAAAAACCTACAACCAATTCAGGTCTAGCCTGATAGCCCGACATATAAGGCATCAGTTATCTTTTTTTTTTTTTTTTTTTGGAAGGTTTCATTGATAAGAATCACGGTGTTCCAAATGTTCCAACTGGACCTATAACACAATCCAAGGTGAAGAAGATTCAACAAACATTCATTCTTCATCTACAAAATTGGATCGGCTCGGGTCAACTATCATTTCTAGAATTAGAAGGTGATACAATTGACGAAAGACAATTGAATATTTGGACCGTTGAAGTTGGAAAACTTTAAAATGCCTTTGAACTTGAGTGGAACCTAATAGATTTCAAGTTTGTCTCTTTAGCCACTCATATGAACTTTGTTGGAAGATTTTATTGTTTTTTTCGTTTTCATTTTGTAATGGTCAAATGGTCAAAATTGACTTCGTCTTTCGTAGAGATTAAAGGGGATTGGGATTGAATCTTAGCCACAAACGTCTCTTGTCGGGAGACTATAAATACCCACAATATGTTATGTAAAAATCATATTGGTGAATGATTGAAATTGAGATCTCGAATTGAGACGTTTTCTTTAAAAATCCGAACATCAATTTTGCCTTTCTAAGTTTCAAGCAATTCTTGGGTAGAATTGCATCAGAGCCATTCAATAAGTTAAATGGTGGAGTGACTCAATTTAGAACAAGCTTCTAAATTTTGCTTCTAAATGTTTGATCGTAAGAGGTAATCTAATTCAAGTTAAATGGTGGTGTTAATTACTTTGATTCATTCAAGGGTTCATGTTAAAACAAAAACTCATCCTTTTTATCATTCATCCCTCGTTCTAAAATTGTTCTAAAATTGTTGACTCAACAGAGAGATTGAAACTTTCAAGATATTAAAAAATGATTATATCTTAGACACCAAATTACAAATATAAATGGCTTAGAAGAATGAAACCTTTTTAAGATTGAAGGCTTAGCCAATCAACTGTCAACTGAAATAGCTGCTGCTTGTGCTGCTGAATGACCCCCATCCTCCTCCTCCTCCTCCTCCTCCTCTCAATCTTTTTTCAACTGAAGCCATCCTCTGAAGCTGTATTTGCTCCCTGAACTTGGCTATGAACTCGCCCGCCTTCTTGTCGACCTCGAAAGCCCCCGACTCCGAATCTCCAGCCATACTTGAACCAGCTTCTTCATCTGAACTTGCAAACAAACTTTCATCCTCCCCCTCAGAGTCATCTTTACTATCATCTGCCACCAGACTCTCTGTCTCTTCCTTCTGCTCCTTAATCCCCAAGAACGTCGTCTTTGGAAAACGATTCATATTACCAGCATTTGGGTTAACAACATCAGGCCATCCCTGTCCCGTTCCATCTTCTCTCATATATGGTGGTGACATTCCACCTTCTTCAAACTTATTCCCTATAATGTCATCATGTTTAACTTGCTTTCTGTGCATCTCTTGAGCTTTCATATCCTCTATGGCAGCTGCATTTGCTCGAATTCTTCGAACCGATTTTCCTTGGGATAATGCTTTTGGAATACTTGCGAAATTCCTGTCCGAACGTGGCGAACTCACCACGGATTCATTGCACTCGGATGAGTTTTCTTGTTCAATCAGAGGGTCTTCAGAGCTCCCTCTACTGTTTTCAGACAGAGAACTCGTACTGTATTGTCGAGAATGCAACGACTTATAGGAAATGTTACTGAGTGACGACATTTTACGGGGCTTTCTCGTCGTCGATGACAACGGAGAAGAGAGGGAACTAGTTTGTGATGACTGAGATAGATAAGAATGAAGAGATCCTGATTTTTTCAGGGATTCAAATTGAGTTTCATCAATGGAGGGAGGTCTAAAATGGGAAGGGCGAAGAACAGCATTCCCGAATCCTCTCTCTCTTATCACCTTCTTTCCAAATTTCTCACGCAATTGAAATGAGGACATTGATGCAATTGCAGTCTCATCAAACTTCTCCTCCAAATTCACACAACAATTATCACCAAATTCACTATTTCCTTCACAATTATTCTCAGAGCTTTTGGGTGAACTTTTAGAACTCAAACAAGATTCATCACCACAATCGAATTCGACATCGTCGGATTCAGTAAGACTCGATCTCAGACTCCTAACAGGCAAACCTAGAGGTTTATAATTTACAATGCCTCCTGATGAACTACGATTTGTTTCAGGCACAACCACCACAGATCCACCACGAGTATATCTCGATTTACATGCATGAGCGACATTATCAGTATCAGCAAATTCATAAGAATTTTCGTACCTTTTTTTCGGCATTGAATAACGGAGTTTTTCCTGGTGGCGAGATTGCGCATTCAAATCACTCGCAGATCCAAGTTTCGGCTGAATGTACAGAACTTCACTCACTTTCCTTTCATCAGAAACACCAAAATCGTCAACATCATCAAAAATTGAAGCGACGTAAAGCATCTTAGACAAATAAGACTGCGGATTCTCAAAACTGGAGTAGCGAGGTTCGTCTACATTCATCTGGTTGTTCCTTGTGCTGAAGAGACCATAGGAAACAGCAATGCCGACGAACATGAGGTGAAAAAGCTCCCAGAATTTGGTGAACAAAGTCTGATCGACGAAATCTGGAGCTTCGGAAGGGAAGAGAGGGAGGAGGAGGAGAAAAAAGCAGAAGAAGATGGATTTACAGAGAAACTGTGCGCAGGAGTTGGCTGGTGGTTGTGGAAGTGGAGAATGGGGGAAATGGAGCTTCGTGAAGGGGCTAGAAGCTGAAGACGCCATTGATGAGGATTGCTGGAGAGCTGTGGAATTGGGATTTTGAGGTTTGAGAGAAAATGTTGATGAAGAAGAAAGGAAGACTTGAAGACAAGGTAAAGTTATTGCTTCCCATAAACACAACAATTCTATCATTCAAACACTCTTTGCAACGCTTCCGTTCTTCAAATTCTCTCTGTTTTTTTTTCCATTAAAGTTTTAAATATTCATATATTTTATACAAAACTATAAATTTTAATAATATTTTTAAACTTTTAATTTTTTTTTTAAATATCTTGTAAAAATTATTAATATTTTGTTTATAATATTTGAACGTGATCTCTAAGGGACTAAATTTGAAAATTTAAAAGTTCAGGGACTAAATTTGTAATTTAACGATTTTTTAAAAATCGTGTAGAGAATCTAGTCTTCGACGTTTATATCAAAAGTACAATTGTCTTAATTAGTTGAACAATGCTCAAACACACGACCATCACTGTTGAGGAATGTTAGTAGAGAAGTCTTACATTGGTTAACTAAGGAGAAGGAGTCGAGTCTTGATTAAGAGAAGGTTGTTCGAGGGCTCCATAGGCTTCATGGGAGGTTCGTACTTTGTTCGAGGGGAAGATTATTGGGAGAGGAGTCCCACATTGGCTATTTAAGGGGAAAGTCATGAGGGTCCCTATGAACTTAACCCACCCCCAGCTCAACCCAACTATAAAATATTTGAACATAAGAATCAGAGTTGCTTGATTATCAGACATGAGAGTCTGATAATTCGAATATGAGAATCACATTGGGTTAGCGACTCAAGCAACCTTTATAAAATAATGAATTGAACTCCAACTCAACTCAACTATAAAATATTTGGGTTAGGTGGTTTCGAGTAATTAGGATGATTTAACCAAAACTTTATTTTTAACGTAGTAGACTATTAATATAAATATATATATTTTTTTTTAAGCATTCTAACGTCATATATACTTTTAAAAATTATATTACATTAGAAATAACTGAAAAAAGATTATAGAATTAAAAGATAGATTCAACCTAAACTAATTAAAAAAAATTAATAAATCAACGTTAAACTTATTTGAATTCGATTCAGACGAAATTATGAGTTAGATTAGGTTTAATTTTAAAGACAACTTGCTTTTTGAACACTCCTAGAATCTTGTGTTTGCCTGAACATCATAACATCATTAAACTATAAAAAATTATTGGACATGTTTGCTTTCATAGCTTAGTTGGTTAGAGCACCGCTTTAGTAAGCGGAAGATTTTGAGTTCAACTCTAAATAAAAGCATAAAAGCATTTGAAGATTTAATTTATAGTTCTTTTTAGGGTTGGTCCGGATTAGTATTTCAGGGCTGGGTTCATTTTTCTGAACTCGAATTGAATCGGTTTCGGGTTCATGGGTAAAAGTTTCGGGTTGACCCGAGTCAAATAAAAATATCTAAAATATATTAAGAATACATTGGTATCAATTGATTTGTCAGAGTGGTATTGAGTCCAATTTAAGAAAATTCACATCCGAGGTCGAACTTTTAATATATTTTACTTAGGATTAGATAAATAAAACTTAAAAAAAAAAAAAAATTGACAACCCAACCGGGTTGGGTTGGGGAAAGTTTCGGGTTGGGTTACCCATCCAACCAACCCGAACTTTTGGGTTGAGTCAAAAAAATCCTTCAACCCGACCCAACCCGGACCATGTACACCCTAGTTTGTTAATAAATAATTTTACTATTTATCGTTGGAAAAACACCCAACCAACCCGAACTTTTGGGTTGAGTCAAAAAAATCCTTCAACCCGACCCAACCCGGACCATGTACACCCTAGTTTGTTAATAAATAATTTTACTATTTATCGTTGGAAAAACACCCAACCAACCCGAACTTTTGGGTTGAGTCAAAAAAATCCTTCAACCCGACCCAACCCGGACCATGTACACCCTAGTTTGTTAATAAATAATTTTACTATTTATCGTTGGAAAAACACCCAACCAACCCGAACTTTTGGGTTGAGTCAAAAAAATCCTTCAACCCGACCCAACCCGGACCATGTACACCCTAGTTTGTTAATAAATAATTTTACTATTTATCGTTGGAAAAACGAAAAAAATACTAATTAAAAATAATAATTTTTTTTAATAATTTTAAGTGAAAATAAAATAAGGATAAAATTATAAATTTAGTTGAAGATTTGTGTTTAGTGAGTCTTAAATTTTTGAATATTTTAAAATTGACATATATACTAATAAAATAATTAGAATTCTAAAGTTAATCTTTTCAACAATTTTAAATTCCTATTTATAGAATTATTACACAAAATTAAAAATCTATTAAATATTTTAAAAAATTCAGTAATCAAATAGATACAAAATTTGAGAGAAAAGCATCTACTGTCAAAATCTAACAAATGAGTTTACAGCCACTTTGGCCTTCAACAAAGATCCTGCACAACAATTTTGTTGATAAAAGTGTTAATTTCACTGATTAAAATTTAAAATTACCTTCAATAAAGAACCAACGAGAAGGAATTTGTTTTTTTTTGCTAAATCTTTAAACCAAATAAAATTAGTTTCACCAACTTGTTTAGGGTATAGAGAAATGAGTTAGCCAAAAAGTTTCATAACTTTTGTTTGTTGAAGACTCAGAGCTCAAAGCCAAACTTTTCCCTAGCAGCCTTTTTTTTTTTTTATAGCTATGGAAACCCTTAAGTCATTGTTAATATAGAAAACATTCAGTAAACTATTTGGCACAATTACAATATGTCACATTCAAAAAAAGAAGAAAAAAAGAAAGGAAGCCATTATTCCAAAATCTTGCAGCACTTCATTAATGGATTGAAGTTTGTAGGAGCTGTTCTTGTGAGCTTCCCAGCAGCTGTTGCCATTACAACTAACAACTCTTTCTGTTTCAGATTCACCACATCTGCAGACTGAACAACATTGCATCAAATGAGCTAACAACAGGCACCAGTTTTCTTTTTGTTACCCAATAGATAGTTTTTCTTATATCATCATTTTTAGTCTTTAATTTAATCCCCTATGATTTTGCTCAATCCCACAAAATGTCCTTGGCTTAACTAAATCGTCCTACTTGTCGTGCTTTCTTTGGAAAACGGACAATATCGATGGCTGAAGTGATTGAACCAAATCATAGGTATTGAATTGAAACAGTTAAAACCATACTGATCAAAGTGAAACCAAGCACAATAATCATGGGGTAGAAAATCGCAATTCAACCTAAATATTTACAACATAACTTCTCATCCAACCTAAATATATGACTTTCATAGTTGAATGGGTGGAACTCACTAATCCCAAACGTGAAGAGAACACAAATCTGATCCACAGAATGTGTTAAAAGAGTTTCATAAAACTGAGCAGATGAAACCATACAAGATCTAAGGATAGCCACAACAATGAACAAGCAGAGTTTTCATGTTCGTATAGTTCAATAGTCTAAACTCTGGAATAGAGTATCTAACATCGACTCGAGATGTGAAATCATGCTTCCACATTATATTTTGCTACCTCACTCAGACCAGAGATTGGGATGGTTTAGAAGAAAAAGGGCTTCCAGTGTGCACTTTTAAAAATATGCTATTACAGTTTATTAAGTGTTTTCTTTCTTTTTTATTTTTATTGTTTCTATTGGTTTTAGAATTTTCAAAACAATTTTTGAAAAAAAAAAAAAGCATAATAGCTCAGTCACTAAGTTGTTTCTATTCCCTCAAAGAGTGAATCCGAACGGATAAAAGCACCTTTCACGTTGTCAAAAATCATCCTAAATTCCCTGCATGTCCTGATTGAAGCCAAAAATATTAAATGTTGTATGACTTAACAAAGCTTACCATTCAGTTCAGCATTTTTCTTTTCAAGTACAAGTGGAAATTTAAGTATTGGTCATTCTTGTCCCGAAGTTGTTTTGAATTTTCTGTTACCATGGTAGTTTGATTATGAAATTTCTAATTTAATTTTGTTTCCTTTCTGGGGATAAGAACCTAGACCATGGAGTATGGCTTTTTTTCACACGAAGAGGGGGGGGGGG